TGGGACAGCAGGGCAGTGAGGTCTGGGTGTGAAGCAAGATGGATTGATTTTTGGCCTTTGCTCCCTTTCATCATCAGTGTTGTAAAATCAGTGCTCCGAATTATTGCTCATGATTATCTCTCTAACCACAGGCTCCATTCCAAAAGACTCTCCAACCCCTCCCCTCTCTCTGATTCACTTTCTTGACAGCATTTTCTTGAGATTGGTTTAGAAAATTGTAGGCCAAGAATAAATCCCTTGAACCTGTCGCCCACGAATGAAATAGAAGCCACTTAAAGCATTTTGATAAAACAATAGCAGTCAAAATAATAGTAAAATTGTAGAAAGCAGGCGCCCGACTTTACACATACTAACTCCTTTGTCACACCCTTCCTATGCAGTGGGTACTAATGGTATCTGAATATAGCAGGTGGGGAAACTGAGGCACAAAGCAGGGTGTGAATGAGCTAAGCTGACCTTTATTTTATATAGTAAAGTTGGATAATTGTCCAGTGAGAAAGTGTGGTATTAGAAAATGAAACCTCTCGTATGAGCAAGTCCTGAGAGGAAAGATGGGGAGCAGTGGGGACATCAAGCAACGAGGAAGTCCCAGGTCTGCTCCCCACTCTGCCCTGACATACAGGGCTGGTTCCACAGTCCTCCCACTCCAGCTTCTACTCTGTAAGCAGGAGCAGAGGCAGATTTTGTCAGGGAGGAGGAGCCACTTATATAATCGTGGTGCCCTCTTTTAAAAAAAAAAACCAACATAGCTTACTTTTTGAAAATTTTACAAATCCATACGACCAAGTGAACAAGCGGCTCCTGCGCCTCCCAGGGCCGGGAAGGGCCAGGCAAGGGATGGCTCTGCCGCGCAGGCAGCCTCAGCGTCACAGCTCAAGTGCCTGTGCGGACAAAAGTCTCTGCTCTCACGGAGCAGGGCGCTGGCAGCTCCTGTCGACGGGAGAGTTCCCTTTTCACTCCCAAGCACGAGGCCCTCCGAAGTGAATCTGTCGACAGCAACTTAGCACAGACTTTGCTCGGGTTCTAGCTTTGAAGCCACGACCATCTCCATTCTGGGCGTGAGAGCTTGAGAGCCGGTGAGACGGATCATGTGATCAGATTCGGCACTTTCTCTTAAATCGCCACAGTGCTGCTTTCCTCCCTGCCTGACAGAAGTTGCCCAAGGAAATGCAATCCCAGATGGATGCTCACCATCAACATTAGAGCTCTCCTCCATGGTTCCCTTCATTGGCAATCATGGAAATGCGGTGGATTAATAGACTCCTTTAATCTAACTCCAAAGAGGGTCCGGCGAAACAACCGCCCAATCTAGCACAACATTGTTTATTTCTGTTGCTGGGATACCGAAGGCTCTTTTAGCCTTTGCCTAGAAGAGCACCATGCATCTGAACTTGTTCACCTGCACATAAAGCAAATAATAGCTGAAATGATGAGAAAGCTCCCTCAAACATTTGGAGTGGAACACAAGGCTTTTTGTGTGTGTCCAGAAATTACAGTGTCCGAAATTTGTTGTTCAACTAAATCTCCACCTGCATACTGAAGTGCACATTACACATAATAAGATGAGGCTTTGAAAAGACAGATGTTAATTATTTTGAGGTAAATCACATCACCTTTGACCCAGACTCCGAGCTGTAATTTTGTTGCTCAGCTTCTTGGTCCCGAAATTAATGTAAATCTTTACATTTGTAATTTTACTTGCCAATGCTAACCCACCCACACAGTCTGCAAATGACTGCCCTGAGTCAGAGACTGTTCACTTTCGACTATATTAGATATTTTAAAAATGTTCTCTGGAAGGATTAAATCACCTATTCGCAACCCTTTCACTGATTCTGCTGTATGTAAAAATTATGGAGTCAGAATACATCTAAACTGGAAGGGACTTTAGGGCGAGGAAACCAACGTTTTAATATGAAAGCTGGTCGCCAGTTCATTCCCTGACCAAAGCAAAAACCCCTAAGGAAAGTACTGGTTTAGGATTTTAGAATACAGATTCACACTTCAAAATCTTTGCTTGGAGTCTGGAAGCTCCCCCTTCCCACCCTCCTGCCTGTGACTGTCTGTGTGCAGGGGGTACCCCACATCTGACAGGGGTCTGGAAGCATCGTGCCATTTTGAATCCAAGCGGTCAGAACATGATTCAGATAGAAATAAATCTGCTACTGTCACAACAACATGCATTCCCTTTTTCCCATGGATGTACCAGACAGTCAATCATGGTTATTTTTGAGGAGGGGGTGTAGGGTTGGGAGAGGCAGGACAGGGAGATACTGGCTTTTCATTTCCTATCTTTTCTTTACTATTTGGTTTTGATTATGATGTACACATAGTAACTATGTTAAAAGCCTAAAGAAAAAAAAGAGACGCTATGCTCACAAACTTCACAGGAGAAATTAAATTTACCTCATTAACACTGATGCTTAAAAATCCATTATCCAGCACAACAGTACTTTTAAAATTTTTCTACCAAAGTGTTCATAATGGCAGAGGAGACTGAATGGATTCCCCCAGGAGTCCAGGGGCTGTGCCAGAAACCATCCTCTGTACGCAGGAACTCTTTGTAGCTTATGTTTTTAAAATGCATTCAAATTGTGCAAAAGACTCTCACATAGCCGCATCTCTTTTAATACAGAAATAATGGCTTAAATGACTTACCATCCACGAAAACTGGCCCCCGGGGCGGGAGACACCCCTGGTTTCTTTCCCCAGCGGTCCGGCGCACCCACAGCACACCACCGCCAGCGCCCGAGTGGAGAGAGGCCGCTGGAATGGGAAGCGCGGCTGTGCGCAAGCTGACCTGTATTCTGGCTCTCTCACCTGGAATCAGGCTTCACAAATCCTGTTATGCATTGAATAGTAACAAAACAACAGCATAAATTAGGGTGTTGCTAAGATTGTGTACCATCTATGTTCGTGTGAACATAATGGACATAATGAATTCTATAGCACTATCCTGCTCAGCTTGGAGAGATTAAAACCACTTTGTCTTTAAATTAAATTTCAAAAATCATTGAACAACAAGAATAGAAAGAACAACAAAAACCCCCTCATCTATGTCAGCCACCCGATTGCAGGAGGCACCACTTCTTGCTTTCTGATCATTAGTGCCTGGTCCTAGGTTTATTTTAATAGCCGCCAGCTCAGTGAGCCCACATCTATTATAATAACCATAAAAGGGGGCTGGTTTCTCGTGTATTATGGTTTGCAGCCCGAAGTGGAGAGTCTCATTCCCTTTCAGGATCAAAATTTATAACCGAAGTTTGTTTTCTATCAGTGCTATGCAACAGAGGAATGATAGAGGCAGGCGCAGAAAAAGGAAACTGGGTTTGAACTCATTCTTAGGTAGTGCTCCGCTTGGGCAAATCTTCATTCAACAAAATGGATGCCTAACCATGAAAATTTCCTGCCGAACTGCTGACTAGATCGCTGGGACCATACTTACTGCTCTCCATGCTTTATGTGACTTAACCCTCACTAACAGCACCCTTAGAAAATATGGTGAGCACCATCATACCTCCATTTTACAGATGAGCAAACTGAGACTCAGGAGATGAAGTGACTTGCTCAGGGTAGATGGCTAAGCTGCAGAGCCAGGATTCAAATGCAGGTACTTCGGCTTCTGGAAACGCTGAAATCTTAACTGCCTCTTAATAATGAGCATAGTTGCCATTTATAGAGTACCTATTATATATGTTCTATGATACATGCCTTGCATAAATTATGTAATCCTTACAACAACCCTTTGGGGCAGGCATTATGATTATCATCATTTTATAGATGAAGAAAATTGAGGGTTAGAGTATGAAGTAACTTGCCCAATAGCACAAGGAAGTGGCAGAACGCAGGCTTTTCTGAGACCAGAAGTTGTTATTTTTTACTTTGATATTTTTAACATATAAAAATTATATGTCTTTAAGGTATACAGCTTGATGTCTTGATATATGCATACAATGTGAAAAGAGCTCCTAATGACTAAGCCATAGTCAGATTCAGGAGCTTGGCCAAGGGATGAGCAACGAAACCTCTAGCATCCCTAGAGCATTAACACATGCCATGCAGGCCCAGTCTACATGAAGCCCTTACACGCCGGTGTGTGCGCTCTTCTGCAGGAACCAGTTTTACCTGTGCACATGGGTCACCCAGCCTATCATTTCCTACTTTCAGTGTTGTGGCTTGACAGCCATGGTGCTTTATTCCCATTCAAATCTCACATTACAGGTAAAATCCACCTGATTTCTGAGCTGTAATCAAAAGCTACAGCAATTGCACATTCTCACAGGGATCCCAAGTTGAGAGTTTATCCAAAAGAAACAAAAATGCCCTCCACTCACTGGGTTTATTATTAGGACGTTTGGCTAAGAAGTTAGTTAGCTCCTCTTTAGTGTGTTTTAAGGTGGTGGTCGTTGTCTGGCTCTCTGCAATCTTTACCAGCCCTGCAATCTCAGCACTGCTTCACTGTGCCAGCCCTAATCCTCTGCTTTGAATGGGATTAGACACAAGTGTTTGAGCCAGGTGAAGATGGAAGGCAACTGGGCAGAAATTAGTTAATTATTATTACCTAAATTTTTTTTTCATTCAGATGAGATGAAACTCACATGACAACCAGCCATTTAAGCATGAACAACTTGGCTTCTATCTATTGATTAATAATCCACAGGACTGATACTTTTTGGTGAAAACTCGCTCAGCTCTGACCATCCACAGGCAGTAGAGCAATGGTCTGAATTTCATTTTCCTAACGTGGTGGGATTATTGATGGATGCCATCACCAAGTTACTCTTTGATAATAAGGCTGAAGGTTGGTTTTAAAAGCAAGCTCTTTATCGCTTCTCGGCCTTTTAGCTAAGATCAAGTGTAAAAGAAAGCTCTTTAACTCTGGAGACTGTAGCTTTTATTAAACATGCAGTATTTACTAGGAATGTACTTGAGTATTTAACTCAAATGTAACACTTAATCACAAAATGTTTTTAAATGAAAATAAGCCACAAACAAAATTATATTTCAGATATTTTTTATTTCTTCAAATTTGTCATTTATCAGGAGTGACTGAAATAAAAAATATAATTGAGTCCCAGTATTATTATGATCATCAACATCATCATCATGGAAATGGCTTTAAGAGAAAACTGGTCAGATGAATATTATTGCTTCCCATTTTCAACCAGTAAATAGTTGCCGCTGATAAATAGACAGCCAATAGTCTGTCAAGATATGTTACATAATACAACATGCCTGCTCGTGGGGGGGGGGGAGAACTAGGAAATAACTTATGTGTACTTCTTGATTTCATCATACAAGACAAGCACAAAAGCACCACCCATGCCTCTGAGAACATTGGACCATGCACCCTTGAAGAAAGCTTTGCCTCCTTCATCGCGAGCGATCTTCCTCCAGCAGTCAATCGTGCCCGTGTACATGATGTCAGCTGCAAAGAAACAAAAGACACAGAGTTGGTGAATGAAAGCTGATAAAAAGTCCCCAAGAGTTACTAGATAAGCCAGAGCCCCTCATTTAAGAGCTAGTGTCACCTTGGAAAAACCCAATACTTGCACCTTGGTGCTGGCAATCCTGAAAGATCAATGTGAGGAGCAGAAAAGGGATGTGAGGCTACCTGAGAGCCTTAATACCATCTCCAGTAACAAGAAGGTCTCTAACACCATGTAAGCAGGCATCCAAAGGGCCTGCAGTGGACACAGACCCACCAAACTCCATCCCAAGACCTGAATAGACTGCCATTTTTGAAGTCAGGCATTGACATTTTGTGGCCATAGCTTGTCCCACACCATCTTCTGCTCAAGGGGGGAACTTAGGAACTTACTTCCTTTGCGTCCTGACTGCATCATCATGCGGCGACGCACAGTGTCAAATGGATAGGAAGTCAACCCAGCCACGGCCGTGACCGACTGTGCAATCATCCAGCTGATGAAGATGTGCGTGTTCTTGGGATCTGGAAGCATTCCTGAGAATAGAAAAGACACTTTTACCGAAAAGCAGAGTGGTATGGACTTGTTGGATTTCATGTCCCCCAACATCTCATCTGTGCACAAAGGGCTATCCTGCGTGAATTTGGCTTTCTTCAGCCATTACAAAATATCTCTGGCTCCAGGAAAATTAGGATGGCACCATCATCTTTCAAATGGTCTCATTAAGAACAGTGTCAAAGCATGTGGCAAACTTACCCTTTGCAGTGTCATAGATACCGAAGTAGGCAGCTCGGTAGATGATAATACCCTGCACAGACACGTTAAAGCCTTGGTACAGGCCTTTAATTCCATCAGATTTGGAGATCTTAACCAGGCAGTCACCGAGGCCTTTGAATTCCCTTTCAGCTCCAGCTTTGCCCACATCAGCGGCTAGACGGGTACGGGCAAAATCAAGAGGGTACACAAAGCACAAGGATGTGGCCCCAGCGGCACCGCCTGATGCCAGATTCCCTGCAAAGTAGCGCCAAAACTGGGTCCTCTTGTCCACACCACCCAGGAAGATCTGCTTGTATTTATCTTTGAAGGCAAAGTTGAGAGCCTGGGTGGGAAAGTATCTGATGACATTGGCCAGGTTACCACGCCAGAAGGACAGGACTCCCTGCTCCTTAGGGATACGAACCACACAGTCTATGATGCCCTTGTATTGCTTATCAGCGGTGATTTGCTTGCTGGCATGCTGCACCTGAAAGACAAAGGAGGCCAAGAGGAAGAGTCAGAACCACGGGGGAAATGCCAAGGGGAGACAATCATCTCAACGCTTTTTAAGGTTATTTCTCCCTTCTCCCCAAATCTAGTCGTCTATACCACTCAGGCTGGACCCTCCTAAGTCTCTGATGCTGACACAGGTCTAAGAAGCACTAGGTCTCCACCCCTTTGGGTGGGAAGGGGGCACCCTCAAGCGTACCCATGACCTTTAGACCTGGGGGAAAGGTCATTACCTCAGACCAGGTTCAGAGGCATTAGGGCGAGTCCCACTTAGGGCGCGGTCCCCTGGGTGACCGTGGCCTACGCCTCAGGTCTCCGGGGCTGCTTCCCTCCCGCTCCGCCTCCACTCTCCTAGAGGTGACCCGCGGCCACCCCGCGACACCCGCCCGGGCGCGCCCTCTAGAGCCGGAGCGGGAGAGCGCGCCGCGCAGGAAGGCAGGCCGCGGGACGCGCCGGCGGCGGCGCGGGGGCGGACGCAGGAGGCACACGCGTTTCCCGGCGCCCGCTTCCGGCCCCGCCAGGCTGAGCTCGTCCGCCCGGCCGCGCCACCGGCCCGCGTGGCCTGCGCTAGGCTTTTATCTCCTTGCCGCGACCTTGAGGTCTTCGGTGAGGGCAGGTGTTCCGCCCTCCAGCGCCGGTTTTCTGGCTTCGCCCTTGACCCCGGGGGCAGCCACTCCCGGATGGCCCCCCTCCGAGTCCGCAGCCTCCGGGACGCCCCAGCTTTGGCCTTCCGCACCTCCCTCGGCCCCCGACCCCTTCTAGATCCAGAACTCGAATCCCTAAAGCATCTCTCCCAAGTTGATCGCCCGTGGGATCCGATTCCGCGGCCCTCGCGCGGCCACTTCCCAGGACCGGTCTGAGAGTTCGCTCCCGGCCACCTCGGGGGCGCCCCTCCCGCAGGATCCCCGCCGCCTGGCCACTTCCCGGTCGGGCTCCCCGGTCCCAGGACGCACCTGCAGCAGCAGCTTGACCCGCTCGATGGGCGCTACCGCGGTCTTGGAGATGGCCGCGGCCACCCCACCTGCCAGGAAGTCCTTGGCGAAGGACACAGCGGCATCTGTCATGTTGAAAAGAAAGAGGAAGCGGGTGATGGCGGGACTGGACGAGGAAGCGGCCTGCACTCCGGGGCTTTGGGGCGGAGCGAAGCAAATGGCCGATTTATATAGGGGGAGCGGGCGCCCGGGCGGCCGGCGTCGGAGGCGGGCCGGGGCGGGCGCCGAGCGCGGGGCGGCAGGGCCGCTGAGTGGCTGGGCACACGGAGGGAGGAGCCGCGGAGTCGGGCCACGGGCCGCCCTCCGCGCCGCCCGGCTGGGCTGCAGCGCTTGACCTGGTCAGAGCAAGAGGCGGCCCCGGGGAATACTCGGGGCTGGGACACTGGGCCCTGGGAGTGGGAAGGGGAACGAGGTCACCAAAACCTCTGGGGCAGGGCCGGGAGAAGGGTGAGGCGCAGGACTTAAGGGGATGTGTCCCCCGCCCCCCCTCCTCGGTGGTCAACATAAATAGTATTTAATACAGATGTTTAAAAAATCGTATAGACAAACTTCCACCCGCTGACCGCCTGCCTATTTTTGTAAATAAAGTGTAATTGGAGCCCAGGACTGGAATTAGGGTGAGGCTGGGTCGTGCAAGTACAGGATGGGATCCCTTTTAAAGTTTTGATCATTTGCTCAACATGGACTTTTGCATGACTTTTCTTTTAAAACAGTGCATTCAAAATCATTTATCTTCATTACTGAGTTGTCTGACGCCCCCTTAAATTTGGCACCCCTTAAGGCAAGTGCCTCGCTTTCCTCACCCTAGTTCTGCCCTGGAGCTTCACAAATGAAGCCAGAGGAAATTGGGGTGACAGCAGAGCTGGGGCACTGTCAGCGTGCTCTGGACCTCGGTTTGCAACACGGTTTAACAAAGATCGTGCCAGGATTGGGTGGAGGAGAGTCCAGAGGACTGGGCTGGAAGTGGGAGAGTTATTTTAGCCAGAAACCAAATATAGAGGTTGTCCAGGGAAGGTTCAGAGGCTGGGCAGGCTAAGTTGGCCTTTCACTCTCTGGACCCTAGGTAAAGTACTCTTGGATTGAGTAGATTTCCTGAGCTCCGGAAATGTTTAGAGGAGTCAGTAGAATTAGATTGACAGCCATTGTGTCAGTGGATAAGTACTTACTGAGTCCCTTAATTGCTGCATTGGGTAAGTATTTAACATGAATGTCCTTCACAACCTACATGTTAGCTTGAGTTCACTCCCTCCTGTTCAGAACAGGAAGTGATAGTGTAATCGCGAATCCTGTCTAAGTAATCCCAACAATGTTTATAAAAATAAAGATAAGAGTTGAAAATTGCAGCTATTGCTGAACCCCATGTGCCCAGCAATGATGAAGGCATCTCCCTCCCTTTCCTTTCCTGCCTTCTTCCACCTTCTTCAGAAAGAGGTGCCTGTTACAGGACTCAGCCTTAGGATTCCTCCAAGATTGTCAGGTCCTTCTTCTGTACAGATACTTTGCAATTTGTTCGTCCAAGAACCCCCGGAAAACCCAGGCAATAGGAACTGCTGAGCACACACTAGGATTTGAAACCAGCTTTGTTGATCTTAGGGAAATCTTTGACCTGCTTAGCAAAAGAATGTAACAGCGAGGCAGGCCGATACAGAGACAATCTTGCTACAGTCTCGGAGAATGATAAAGTATATTCTCTGAAAGTGATCGTTACCCTTCTGCCCCTGCTGGCCAGAGAAGTAACATCTTAAGCAAAAAGGTACAGTTTATTTAGAGGGAGGTGGTTTATAAAGCCTTTTTTTTTTTTTTAAAGATTTCTTTATTTATTTTATACAAGCACTGGGTACAGTCAGAAGCGCGGGAGGGTGAGAGGATTCACCAGAGCCAGAGCGGGGAGCAGAGCAGGCAGAAGGACCGAAGTACACTGCTGAGGGGAGCAGCAGGCGGCAGGAGAGGTCTGCGCGCCATGTGGGACCCTCCTCCGGTGGCCGTGGATTGAACCGGTGCTGCAGAGGCTGGGGGCAGCTTTTCAGCCCAGCACTCAACCGCTGCGCCACCAGGGGAGGCCCGGTTTATAAAGCCTTTTTAAAATAAGAGTTTAAAACTCTCTAGTTTGAATTCTTGACATTTATTCAAGTGTCTATTGCTCTTTGATACCTCATCTTTACATCCTACTCTTGTCCTACCCTTCCCTGGTCACATCTGCTGCTCCTTCAGAGCATAATCCTCTTCCAAAGTTCTTTTACTGTGTTCAAGCATTTTCATATTCACCATTCAATCGGATTTCATTTCTCTGTAAAAAGAATGATCAAAGAATTGCATAGAATCTGTCTGCCCTCTGGGGGCCTAAGTAAGTTTTATTGAGGATGAAATATAAGACTGGTCACTGAAAAGCAACTTCCTGCCATGACTTGGTATTTTGCTAAGTCCGCTGTGAACTAGGGCTCTCTAGGTGCTTGTGATCATGTATATACTTCAGGGAGTCAGATGTTCTAGAAAGTGTCAAGGTCATGAAAGAAAAAGAAATGTCACTGATTAAAGGAGACTAAGGAGCACCACAGCTTAAAGCAATGTGTGATCCTGTTTTGGGTCCTTCACCAGGAAAAACATTGGTGGTACTACTGGTGAAATTTGAATATCTATAGATTAGTAGTATTTGACCAGTACTATTCTTAATTACAGTAGTTATGTAACATGTTAACATTTGGAGAAGCTGAGTGAAGGAGCTATGGACATTTTAAAATAATTTTTGGCAACATTTTTATGTCTGAAAGTGAGAAAAAGTAAAAAAAAATTAATTTCACAAAAACCCCAGGAGCAAGATCCCACAAAAATAGGGAATAATATTAGTGATAATGATGACAATGTTGATAATGATATATGGTTGATCAATTCATCAAAAATGAATTCCTCCAATGGGGCATGTGCAGTTGTGTGGGGGAATATAAAAATAAAATTTATTATTTAAAAAAAAAAATGAATTCCTCCAGTGAGGCACAGCAGGGACTGTGTGTTAGTAACTACTGTGTTTCTGGAAGTTATGTAAAATACAAACATAATTAAGAAAAAGGAACTAAAACTAAAGCAGTGCCTAGTAATTCTCAAGAAAAAAAAAAACAAGGAAGAGGATAAAAAATTATACTTAAAGCCTCAGTTATCTATATATTGACACCCAGAATATGGGTAATGAAAGGAATGTAAAATGTTAATACAAGCAATTTTATGTCATTCAAATTTGGTTGAACAGGACTACTGGCTGGCATCTGGAAATGCAAGGGTAAACCTGGTTCAGAGAGATACCATAGAGAAGGAAAGCAGAGTGTCATATGTCGCGAAGGTATAACTAGTAATTGATTGGCTGGAGAGTGAAAATGAAAGTGATTGTGATTGTGCACGGATAAAAGAGATTGCCTAAGTAGAGAGAAGCTCAGAACAGTACTTCACAAAACCTCATAGAGGCAAGAAATGGTAATCAGAGACAAACCTTCTGAATACCTGTTGGAAGTTTTCCTATTATAGCAACAATTTAGATAAATTCTTAACTTGCTGATTAATTACGGTCCTCATGAATTAAAGAAGCAGTGAGGTAAATTGCTAAACTGGGCTTAATCCTAATGACAAAAAAAAATTCCTTTTTGGTTAGCACAGTGAAAGTGACAAGAATCTTGGGGAAAGTAGTCATACCGTCTGGATCTGTTAAGCAAAACAATGCTGAGCCTGGTCAGATAGGTTAACTAACATGTGTGTGAGTGTGTGTGTGTTAGGCTTTAAAGGGATCAGAGAAAAAAGACAAGTATGATCCTTGGCCAAACACCAAAGAGTGAGGTAGCTCAAGAGCGTCAGGGGTTCCAGAGATAAAATTCAGACCTGTACCACTTGGATTTTTAAAGTACACATATAGATGACAGAAGGAGGGCTAAGCTTCCAAGGACAAAGACCAAAGAGTATCACCATCTCTAGGAACTGAGTCAAAGGGCTGAAGTCCATAATAAATTCTGGACACATAAAATGGGAAGGACCACAATAAAGTGTTCCAATGCTCTGTGTAGTAGTGCAAGACGTTTGAGCACAAGGAACTGAGCTTACTGGTAGCATGCGTGATCCCAGGGTCTCAGGACCGTAGTGGGCTGTGAGCTGGCAATGCCAACAATTCTGATTCTTCAGTTGGACTAAGGAGGATGGTGGTGAACAGATCAGAGGAACTCTCAGTTCTACTTAGGCCTTTGTTGGCTGGTCCACAGAGCTTTGTGCTCACTTCTGGCTGCTGTGTGTAAGAGGAGATGCACAAACTGGAACATATTCAAAGGCAGTCAGAAAAGTGAAGAGTCTGTAAATCTTGTCATATGAGAAATGGCTGAATGAATGAGATATTTAACTGAGAAAAACTGTCTTCATAATTGAAGGACTGTGGTTCTGTAGAAGAGAATGAGACATTCTCTATGGAATCAGTACCAATGGGTAGGTAGAAGTGTCAGGAAGGCAGACTCCAGCTGGGCAAGAAACAACGTTCTGAAGTATGAGTCACTTCAGATGGAATTGGTTGCTTTGTGACGTGGGAAACTTCTTGTCTCTGGAAACGTTGAATGGAAGCTGAGTAACAATTGTAGGGATACGGTAGAGTGTTGGCTGGGAAGAGTTTTACACTCTTCCAGTTCTAAGGGTCTGTGGCTCTCTATGTTTGTATCTGTAAGTTGGGGTTTGAGCATCTGAGTTGGGGAATCCAGGGCAAGAGAGAAAGAGCAGTAGTGCAGCCCCGTGGGCAGGAGGGTGGTTGGCATCTGGAGCCAAATTCCTAGAGTTCAGGTGTCTCTCTGGCTCTGCACTTGCTGTCAGGCCTTGAGTGAGTCGCTTTAGTTCTCCACACTTCAGTGTCTTCAGGTGTAAAATGAGAAGGATAAAAGCCTTACCCCTTGAAGAACTGTAGGGAGTAAGCATTTCATGCATGTGAGATTTTATTAATATTAAGAAAAATACTAATTTTTGTTGGTCATTTATGAGTTGTTTTAATTTTTAAAAAATATTTATTTATGCATACAAGAGCTGGGGTACAGGCCAGAGGTACAGGGGGTGAGAGGATTCACCAGAGACAGAGTGGGGAGCAGAACAGGCAGACTGACTGAAATACACTGCTGAGGGGAGCAGCGGGTAAGTCAGGAGAGGTCTGCTGTGTCATGTGGGTCATCATCCTGGCTGGAAATCGAACTTGTGCTGCAATAGCTGCTGCGGACTGCTTTACAGTGCTGATGCTTAACCCCCTGCGCCACCAGGGAGGCCCCATTTCTGAGTTTTAAATAGCTTCCTCCAGCCCAAATTATGTACGGTGGCAAACCAGTCCCCCGTCCAAATAAGGATGCTACGTTTAATTTGGCAACCATATCAGAGACCACAGAGCATAGAAGCAGGATTTGAGTGTCTAGGCGGTACCCCAAAAAAGCCCTCTTCAGTTTTCAGACCTGGCTTGCATTTGCAATACAGAGGACTGTAACACCACACTTGTATTTGCAGTATAATTGCGAAGGAGAAAACGCTCATGCTTGGCAGCCAACCTTCCTGTCTCAGGCATTTCAAATTTAACATGTCCAAAAGAGAACGACCCATACCCGGTTTTGAGAAACAAGTGACATCCATCCTTCTATATAAGTTTAAGGCATACAGCATGATGGCTTGATTTCCATAGATTGTGAAATGATGACCACAGCAAGTTCAGCTGACATTCATCTTCTCATGATGCAATAAAAAAGAAGAAAAAAATTCTCCTTGTGATGAGAACTCTGGGGTTTTGCTCTCTTCACAGCTTTCCTCTACATCATGCAGCAACGTCAGCTCCAGTGGCCATGCTATGTGGCATCCCTAGGCCTTGCAACTGGAAGTTTGTGTCTTTTGATCACCTTCCACCAATTCCCCCTCCCCCCACCCTCCAACTCTGGCAGCCACATCTGGTCTCTCCTTCTATGAGAGACCTCAGATTCCACATATAAGTAAAATCATACTGACTCTGCCTGACTTATTTCAAGTAGCATAAAGTCTTCAAGGTCCATCCATGTTGTCACAAATGGCAGGATTTCCTCATTTTTCTGTCTGAATATTATCAAGAGAACTTTTAATTCCTTCCCTACCAGAAGTCTGGCTTACACCAGTCTTCCCCACATCAGCAAGTGGTATCTATTTTGTTAATCAAGTCAAAAACCCAAACCCTACATAGGACCTTTGATTTCTTCCTTTGATATCCTACATCTCAGCTCCAAAATACATCTTAAAGCCATTCACTCCTCTCCATCTTTACCACCATTCTAGTCCAAGCCATCATATGTCATCAAGACTTAGATTTCAGTAAGTCTCTGGATTGCTTCCCTCCGATTCATTACCCCCACAGCAACCAGAATATTTAAAAAATGAAAATCAGGGCCTCCCTGGTGGTGCAGGGGTTAAAGTCTCAGCGCTATCAAGCCATAGCCAGCCATTGCTGCATGAATTCGAACCCCGGCCAGGGAGCTAACCCTCATGGCACAGCAGACCTCTTCTATCTTTCCCCCTGCTCCCCTCAGCAGTGTATTTCACAAAAACCAAATCTTTAAAGAAAATGAAGATCAGATTCTCTAAGTTATCCGCATAAAACCTTTGGATGACTTCCAACGGCCTTTAGAATAAAATCTAACTTCTTATTACAGCCCACGTGGCCAACATGGGCTGGCCTCCGTTCGGCCTCATCGTGTACTCCCCCCTTAGCTGCTAGCCAGGGCTTTCCCCACTATCGGTACCACTTTTATATTTCTGTTCCCTCTGTTGGGAGTGCTTTTCTCCATAGTTCTTTGTATGGTTGGCTCATTTTCAGCCTTGAGGATTCATCTCCAGTGTCACTTCAAAGTGGTCTTCTCCGGTCCCCTGATTTCAAGTACTTCCCTCACAACCAGAGACACACTATGGGGGTGGAGGATGGGGAAAGGAGGGATTGGGGTCAAAATAAGGGGGTTGCAATTATATGGGGAATATAAACATAAAATTTAAAAAAAAAACAGGTGGGAAGAGCACAAGGGACTATGGTGATGGCGCATGGGTAAATTGGTGGTGGGAATTTCACGGGGACTATGACCGAGATGACAAATCATACATTGTAAAAAATGAAGAACAATGTAAAAAATATATAAAATAAAAAAATAAAAATAAAACAGAAAAACATACAAAAAAAAAGAAGTACTTCCCTCACCCCAGGGTCTAATAAAGGGCCCTGCTTATTCCCCTTCTAATGCTACAATCTGTAATTAACTAGCATATCAGATTAATTTGCTCATAAATTACTCTCAGGCCAATACTGCATTACGCTTCGTCCTCCTCCTACTTAGTTTGGTGCATAATGGCAGCTAGAAAGCACAGTCCTTTCGTACCACTGAGAAAATGAAAATAGCTGAAAGGAACAGAGATTTTAAGAGTTGTTCTGCCATTAGAAAAATGAGGTATATCCTTCTACTTAATCGAAAAAGAAAATCAATACTGCAGCTCAGAAGACATTCCTGTGTGGCCATAGCAGGAGCTGAGCTAAGCTCTCACAACACTTGCAGAAGAGCACAAAAGATACACAGTGATGTAAGTGACCTGAGGTTAGGATTTTGAATTTAGTTAAAAAAAATTTTTTTTGCAGCTTTCAGAACTTTTCAAAAAGTTGTTCAAGTCAAGGGAAAAAAAAAAAGAGTAAGAAACATGAACTATTTACTCTAGGAAAAGAAGTTGCCACCCTCCAAACCCCAGCAGACTGGGCCACAGATGAGATTTTCCTGTGTGTTTGTGTTAACTGCTATTCCCCACAAAACACAGTCTGCCACAGCAGTTGGTAAAACAAGTTATTACCGCAGATTTCGGTAAGACAAGTTTCTGAGGGTTTAAGGACTTTGGTCAGAATATTTAAAAAATGAAAATCAGGGCCTCCTTGGTGGTGTAGGGGTTAAAGTCTCAGCATTTAACCACAATTTTATAAGTTAAGGTTAGTAATAAATGACCAATCCATCCTGTTTTTGGAAAATATATTTAATAAGGAAAAATACTTTCACCATCTGAAAGCCTCTGTGGTGTGCATGAATAAATTAACAACTTAACATTAGACATCTTTTTTTCTAACGCATAGGTAGGCACTATGTGAAAGGCACACTCAATAAACTTGAGCTGGAACCCCCAAGGTGGAGCAATCCCAAATTATAAAAAGAAAATTGAGTGGAGATGATTACCCAAAGTGTTTTGTACAGTTACATTTTTTTGGTATGTGTGTTAAATGTTCTGTTTGATCCTTTCCAGGCAACTGGGACATCTTGTATAAGTTGATTAAATAATTTATTTTCAGGGTAGGCTCGCAAAGCAAGTTATAAGAAACAGAATTTGGGCCACGTGATCTATACGTGACTTCAAGTGGAAGGTTTTTTGGGGGGCATAATGAAGCAGTCGTGGTGAAATCTGTCTTCCTGAAACACAAGATTCTAAGCCTGGGATGCTTCCAATTTAAATAAAGGATAGTTTCACTTCAACAGGGACGGCTTTTCAATGGTAAACATTCCCAGTTTCTGATAAGGCATGTTCTACACTGTGGTGTGTGCACTCAGAGGTCAGCAAAGAAAACGAGTTCCAAAACGAATGTACTGGAACTCAGGATACATGGAGTGAAACTAGGCCAACATGGGCTTGGGCAAGTTGTGACCCTGTGGCTGAGCTCATGACATGGTATCTGCTCAACTACAGGCAGTGCCCTTTCTTTGATGTTACATGAGTGGCACATTTCATTACCACTAGGTTTTGTTATCAAGCCTGGTGGAATGCCCTCATGACACTGTCCTGTGGGGAAGCCTTCCTGTGGCACAGGTGCTCACAGGGACATCAGCTGGGAGCTCAGTGGTTAAATGGCTGAATCTTCTCAGTTCCAAGCGCAGCAGACAGGAAGTGCCCTCTCGACACTGACACTCCACGTGGGCACAATGAGACTCCAGGGTTCTGGGATTGCAACATCCCGGCAGTCAGCGCACTTCTAGTTCCATCCCACTCTAAAGAGTTGGTTTTTTAGAGTTCAGTGTTTCGGATTTTAAGAACTTCTTTAATTCTCGCAATTCCTGGGGCTTCAAGCTCTGATCCACTCCAGGGGTCAATTTATAGCTCAGAGGAGACACAATGTAACCATTTCTGTAGAGACAGATCCTCTTGCAGAACTCAAAGGTGCCAAACATAACTCCAAAGTATGGAACTATCTGTTTAAAAAAAACGTGAAAATCACATTAAAATCTTCAAAAGAAAATGTCAACGCATCCACTATCAACTTGCATCAGGGTGAACTGAGATGAAGAAGGTGGACATGGTAATAACTCTTTTTGGGATGGGGAAGATGGCAAAATGAAGGTTGGCACAAAGGGTGTGGGAGAAGAACGGAAGAGGGCCAAGTGACTGAAGGGTATGCCCCGGGGAAGCCTGGGTCTGGATTCATCTGCATACAGACACCCGACATTTTCTGCCACACTTGCTGGCCTTGGTTGGAATCAGGGTATCAACTAGTGGAAGGTTGGTCCAGAGTTTGTAACTTTTTTTTTTTGTCATGGAGTTCCTTGGGAATATGATGTAAGCTATGCACCCTCTCCCCAGAGAGATGTGCGTGCCCTCACATACAATTGCATACACTCTTAGGATGGGGGACTGGGTTCCCCTTAAGAGTCCATGAATCCCTGTGTTTTGAAGGTCTATACTACATGCTCAGCTCCTCTGGGATGGGGTATCAGAAGCCTCAACAGTGTACAGGGCCTCCTCTCCCAGGGCTGCCAGCCAGTCTATATTCGTGGGCCTTGGGCTCCCACCAGTGCTAGGGGTTGCTTCCATGCGAACTGTGTAGGAGAGGCAAAGCAACAGGGTAGAACTGGAAGAGGCAGTAAAGCAGTAGAGGCTGACCTCTCCTCTCACCTTCAGCAAGTTGGCTGCCAATCCGTTCCACAGCCCCAGCACCCCTTGCGTCTTCACTACCTGCCGGAAGCAGTCTACTACCCCTGAGAAGTGGACATCTACTCCTCCACAGTGCGGAAGACAGGGGCTCTGGGCCTGGCAGGGAACAGAAGACGGCATGAGGTGATTTAGTCATCAGGAAATAAATATCCTAGTCAGCACAGCTAAGGGCTCAAGTCTATAGACTTGGATGCAATGCTCCAGGCCAAGACAATGGCAAAAATGGCCACTGCAGGGCTCATTGTGTTCCACGAGCTTCACACACAGTGAAGTTATGATGCCTCATTCATGTATCGGTGGTTTATTTGGCTTGGAAGGAAGCAGCCATTTGGGACAGACAACTTCACACCACTGCTTCCCAACCTAGGCCCTCTGGCCACGAGAAGTACTCACATACCCTGAACATTTGCAAAGTGCCCTCCTGTTCCTTGCCTTAACTGGTCTTCCCCTGTGAACACTCTCAGTGGGGCTGCTCATTTCCCGCCTCACAGATGTCCCAGGGTGGGGAGCAGAGCCATGGCACCTTGTTCTAGCACTTCTTGCTGTTCACACACCCCAATTCCTTCCCTTTCAAGCCAGAAGCTCAGGTCGCTGGCCCACTGCTCATTGCTGCCCTCGTTATTGACATGCTGGCCACACTTCCACATTCACTGAAGATTGACACGGGGGGGGGGGCCCTCCACCCAAACTTACTACCATCTTAGGTAACTTCAGCATCGACAGAGACAAACCACCCCTGGCTTTCTGCACCTCGTCTTTAGTTGGCCACCCACTCCTTTGCATCCCCCACACGTGGACTTCATTACCATTCCCAGAACTATCCGGGTCACCCAAATGCTCCACCTCGGAAAGTAACAATTTTGTCCTTTAGCAAAACAATCTTGTGATCCGATGAAATGGGTTTTCAATATCCTGTCTACATACAAAATCAACACTATTCCCCAACGCTGGGGCACCAGTCCCTCACATCTAGTCATCAGACACAGTGTCAAATTTACCTTTAGCTATGCACACAATTCCGTTTGTTTCTACCACGTCTAGTGGGGGCGAGCATCGCATTCTGTCGCAATGGAACCAAGATTTTCCACAGGGGAGAGGCTGTACAGTGGGGCAGGAAGAAGAACACATACTCTGGAGTCATACAGGTGGGGTTCCAGGCCTGGCTGCTCCACTTACTGGCCAGGTGACCCCTGGCAACTTACCAACGCTGCTCAAGCCTCAGTTTCCCTCTTTAGAGAATGGGAAGAGCACCTGCTGTATGGGGCGGCAGGGAATTAGATGAGGTGGGCGGGTAAAGCACTTCATGGTGTCAGGCATGTAGTAAGGACCAACGGACACGAGCCAGCGTTGCCATCATTATTATGTTGAAAGTATTCTAGACAGCAACAAAATCCCCTACCTAGCTTATTAGACCTTATTAGAAGATGTCCACTTGCGAAATCTTCCACTTCAGAAGTGCTCGGAGCACAGTGTTCTCATCCATCCAGATCCCTGTCTCACTTATTCAGATTATTCACGACCGTGTGGATGGTTCATCCCTCTAGTCCCGCGCGCTCCTTCACCCGCCAGGCCACCAATTCCCTGCCTGCCTCACTGTCCTCCTTTCTGTCCTGGCCGCTTTTTTCTGCATCTATTCTCAAAATCGTTGCCACCTGTCCTTCAGTAGATCTCCACCCTCCCCCAAACCCGTCTCTGCTCTAAGTCTCTGAAAAAGAATCCAGATGGGCCGGATCGGCGGAACTGAAGCTGCGCTGGCTGTAACTTTGGATCCTCGTACTATGAAGCAAGTCTTCAAAGCACCCATTTTGCCATTTCCTACAATGGCTCTTCCAAACCTTACCACACACTCAGCGCCTGCACCCCACAGCATTTCCTCCATCTAGGCAGGTGCCCCCACTTTCTAGTTCACAGGGAAAATAGATTAGACAGGGCTTCTTGCTTCTGTGTATAAATATCTTTCTTCCTACCGGTGCCCGGGGTGACATACCTTTGAACTTCTCTCTTGGGCACCTTTCCCAAGAGACCTGACTTTTCCCCTTAGCAAATAAATAAACTCAAATCCCTCCCACCTTAAAAGCAACTGCTTCCATTGATCTTAACTTTGCCCTGAAGACACAACCCAAGCTCTCATTTCCAAACGAACATAATCAAATGACCTTATTTTGGTTTCAGAGTTCTAGGTGTTTAAAGACTGGTATAGATGTGTGTGACCACTGCCACGATCAGGATACGGAACTGAGACATCAGTCCTATGAATTCTCAGATGCCCCCCATTCCAAGCAAGGCCTCCCCCACTCCAGGCCATCACTAGTATGTTCTTTGTGGCTATAGTTTTGCCTTTCTAGAATGTCACGTAAATGAAACAGAAGAGAAAGACTGGAGACAGTGAGCGCAGACAGTTCTTTCCAGGTCTTTCTCTTTTTACACTGGCTTCTTTCACTCAGCATGGCACTGTGTACATAGTTCTACTTTACTAAGAAGAGATGGCGTGGTAGAGAATATCACACATGTAGTCCGCAATGTTATTACTGCTATAATTAATCAATAACTGCTATTTATTGACTGCTTATGCACCTTTGAGGAAACTGAGGTTCAGGGACAGGTGAAGTGATTTGACCAAAACCTTGTCAGCTAGTAAATAACACATTTCATTCTGTCTCAAATTAGTTGTTTCATGTCCCTTTCCCCCAGGGGACTGAGATCCCTGATGGTTGGGACCTTGCTTTGCTCAGCTCTTCTCACCATCACCCCCCATGAAAGCGTGGGGATACATGAACAAATGATAGGGAAGTGGTGCTACAACCCCACTGTCATGGTTCAAACTGTTCAGAAGCCCAGGCCTTTCGGACTCTTGAGTTTTGCTGTCTCTGACCAGGATGCCTGGCTCTTTCTTGCTTTCTTTCTGATCCCTGTATCTTCACCATTCCAAGTCCTGATAACTCAGACTCTTCAAATCACAGGCTCAAATATGAAAGGGACTTTAAGACAGACCAGTGCAATTACCTCCTTTTACAGCTAAAGCCCAAGACCCTGAGAGTGACAAAAGCTGAGGCAGGACTAGAGCCATAGGACTAGGAGCTGGGTGGACCCTGCTTCTCCCCCAAGCTGCTGCAATCTGTACTCTGGAATCCTGCCTCCCACTCACTCCCTGACCTTGGTCTCTAGATCCCAAGACTTAAAAGGGTAACTTGTTCCATGTGTGCCACCCACCTCACCGTCCTTGCAGGACACTCCACCCTGCAACCAGTGGCTGCACGGTGGCGGTGGCGGCAATGACAGCAGGTCATCCTGCTGAGGTGAGACTTTAGCTTTTCTTGTGATCCCACACTAGGAGGACACTCAATGTCAGGGATTCCAACTAGTGTGTGAGAGTGTGTGTGTGTGTGTGTGTGTGTGTGTCTGTGGGGTAGTTAGTAAAACTTGTGAAGCTTGAATTGTGAACTATTGGAAGGAAAGTCCATTTTATTGGGTATGACTAAAACTAGACTAATGAAGGACAACTTAGTAGAGACACTTCGCGGGCCTGACTTGTCTGCATAGCTGAGTGGTTTGTGAAAGCCTTGGTAGCACTACACAAGGTCATATGCATGAGTTTTACCATCACAAAGCCCTGGATTTGAACCCTTCAAAAGTGGAAGTGCAGTGTCTTCCACTCATTGCTGTGTGATCTTAAGCAAGTTCCTTAACTTCTCTGAGTTTCAGTTTCTTCATTTCTAAAAAGGGGTAATACTTATCTCTTAGGGTTGCTGAGAAAATGAAAGGGGAAAAGGAAGCATCCCAGCAGCACAGTAAGTGCTCAATAATGTCAGCCCATATTATATAGTCCAGCAGGCCTTAAAAGCAGCTTCTTTTGGTAAAATCATATTGTCTATATTAATAACTTCACTATTCCCTAGACTACTAAAATGTTAGCTGAGAGGCATGCAGATTAATGAGTTTATTTCATATGAACAAGTGTTGCATCTTTCCTCATTACTCCAGCTTGAAGCTGGATTGAATCCACCTAGCAATGTTCCATGTTTCAAAATACACAACCCACTGCTAAGCATCAAGGTGAATGGTGAACTCTGGGGTTAGGCCTCCTCTTTGAGGTACAGTAACAACCACGGACAGGTCAGCGTATGAGAAACAGAACTGGAATGGATGAGCGGAATCTTTCAGTCTGGAGTGACAGGAGCCGAAACAGCCAGGGGTGTTTGGTGAATGTCTTACTTTCAAGAATTCACTCAGCCTTGTCCCAACCTGGCCTGCTTTCCTCCTTTTTTTTTTTTATTTATACAAGAGCTGGAGCACAGGCCAGAGGTGCGGGGAGGGTGAGAGGATTCACCAGAGACAGAGTGGGAGCAGAACAGGCAGACAGACCGAAAACACTGCTGAGGGGAGCAGCGGGCGAGACAGGAGAGGTCTGCCCCACCATATGGGCATCTACCTGGCTGGCCAGGAATTGAACCAGCACTGCAGAGGCTGCGGATAGCTCCACAGCGCTGCGCTCAACCCATTGAGCCACTGGGGAGGCCCCTGCTTTCCTTCTTTTCCCATTGACAGATAACTTGTCAAGCAGACAGTAAGCTTCTTTTGCCCTTAGAAAGCACCTGCTTGAAGTTCCTCCTGCTGCTGTTAACAGGGCATGCTGAAAAGAGGAAATGAAGCTTCTTATTCTGCTATGCAGTATTGTTATTGGTTTTTCTTCTGCTAGTTTCTGGGAAAACTGCAAAAAGCCCCGAATCATGCATGAAGGTAATCATTTTGCAATCAGGTGCCCCCCGCCAGATCAAAAACAAAAAGGCACCTAACCAAGTTACAAAAGTTATTTGCGTAACAGGTCACTTATAATCAACTTGTGTGTTAAGGACCATCTACATTCAATCTTAGAGCCTTAACAAACTTCCAAATTTTCACCTTTGCTGCCAAGCCACCGTCACTCTCATGGACCACCGCAGCAGTTTCCTGAGTAATCTCCTTGGGACACAGAAGCTTGAGGCTCCTTGCCTTCCCCTTCCTACTGTCCATTCTTGACACAGTGGCCACAATGATTTTTAAAAAGATCTTATAACTTACCTTCTTAAAATATTTTAATGGATTTATTTAAGAGAATA